TGCGGGGCTCGATCCCAGGACTGGGATCATGACCTGAGCGGAAGGCAGACGCTTAACGACTGAGCCACCGAGGCGCCCCTATCAATGTTTATATTTTAAGAAAAGCATTTTATAACTTACATACACTTAATGTATTTCTTAAGATATATTTGTTTCAAAATCTACCGTCTTTCTATCAGCTTTATGCTCATCTTGCCTGTCCTAGGTCCCCTTTTTCCCCCTCTTCTTTTTTGCCTTCTTTAGAATTGACTCAATATTTTAATATAGTTTTCTTCCATTAACTTGGCAGTTTTCAATCTTTTATTGTTTTAGTAGGAAAGATTACCAAACATGTATTATTGAATGTCAAAAGCTAATATTACGGTGCCTGGCTGGCTCAGTTGGTAGAGCATGAGACTCTTAATCTCAGGGTTGTGAGTTTGAGCCCCACACTGGGACTACAGGTTACATAAATAAATAAATAAATAAATAAAATCTTAAAAAGAAAAGCTAATATCATTAACATTTTTACTTCTAAATGCAAGGGACCTTGGAATAATTTCATTTATACCCTTCCTGATTGTTGTTGAGAGTCTAAAACATCTTTCTATATGTTTTTAAATTTTTTTCAAAGATTTTATTTATTCATTTGAGAGAGGGAGAGAGAGAGAACATGAGCAGAGGCAGAGGCAGATAGACAAGCAGACTCCCCGCTGAGCAGGGAGTCCACCGCGAGGTTCCATCCTAGTACCCTGAAATCATGACCTGAGCCAAAGTCGTATGCTTAACTGACTGAGCCAGCCAGGTGCCCCTCTATATTTTTTTAAACATCATTTGGTATTTTATTTTATTTATTTTTACATTGTTTTTTAAATTGAAGTATAGTTGATCATACAACCAGCTAGTGATGCAAGTAAATTCTTACATCAGTTATTCACACTTCTTAGAGCTCTGAGCTCTTTCTTCCATAACACACCGGTTTTGCTGCTTGAGAAACTTCTACATATGAATTGGGTTTTTTTTTTCTTTTAGATTTTATTTATTTATTTGAGAGAGAGAGAAAGAGAGAGAGCACAAGCGAGGAGTTGGGGGAACAGAGGGAGAGGGACAAGCAGACTCCCGGCTGAGCAGGAAGCCCGATGTGGGATTCAATTCCAGGACCCTGAGATCATGACCTGAGCTGAAGGCAGACCAACTGAGCCACTCAGGCGCCCCACAAGTTGGGGTTTCAAGTATGCTTTGTTACAAAGAAGGAAATAAGGCTAGAGCAGTTGAGATGGTAGGACATACAAGTCATCAGATACAACTTAAAAAAAAAAAAAAAGCCTTAACAGCTGGAATGAGTTATCAAAGAAAGAAACTGATGGATTGTCTGCATGAGAACAATGAAGAAAGCAGGCAGGGGATGAGGAAAAGTTGAGGTTATCCTGTGAAATCATCTTAAAGTAGAAAAGTGAGGCTCCTGTTCTGTTCAGTGCTTTAGTTTACAAAGTGTTTTCACACTCCGGACCATGACGATGGTAACATGGGGCAGGAGTGAGGGAGGGGAGGCTGCTGACTACGCCGCGTCTCTCAGTGCAAGGGTGGAAAGCAAGTCAAGATGGAAAGGAATAGCCAGGAGGGGATAAAGGCCGTCGTAAAAACTAAATCCATACAGAAGTAAAAATGTTGTGGAAAATGGAAATTTTTTCTGGATTCACAGATTTCGTAAGTATAGGATACCATTTATTCTGTACAGAACTCATGCTAGTCATAGATGGGTTTGCAGTGTCTTTATATTAGTCGTCCCATAAGTCCAGATTATTATGAGTTGTCCTGGGTGCTTCGGTAACATATCTGCTAATAAAGATACCTTCGTCAGTGTTCCGTTACCAGCATTGTTTCTGAGCCATATTAATTTATCCCTTCACATACTATTTCGCTCATTTGAGAAACACTTATTAAAACTTATGCTAGGAACTAAGGAAACAGATAAAAGACATGGTCCCTGCTGCCAAGAAGTTGCTTGGCTTACTGATGGAATTTCCTAGTACCCTGTGTTACTCTTGGTTATGCAAACATTAGATTCCTAGATTTTTCACTCACGGTTATTCCATTTAGAAAAAGAGGCCTCACCAAGGTTGTTCACTGAGATCGCTATTCAGGTGTTAGGTTGAAGGGCAGGCCTCTTGACGGACTCTGAGTAACAAGCGGAGCCTTTCCACAGTGATGGGACTGTATCGCTTTCGCTAAAACTGTGAAAACAGCAAAATGACATCTTAGTATTGCTTTTAAATCCTAATGACAGAAAAGGGAGCCAACGCTCTGCCCAAGAAGGATGAAAATGGCTATGTCACTTGCTGGGACGCTAATGTCAACATGGGATGGGGGTGTAAGGAGTGCTAAAGTTCAGATGGCGTTATTGTTCACAGGTTAATTAAAGTTGAATTGTATTAACATTCAGTTCTCATTCCCAGTAGCCACATCCCACGTGCTCAAGAGTCTTATGTGGCTAACAGCCACTCCACTGGGCATGAGATACAGCACCTTTCCATCGCCACAGAAAGTAAATGCAATGGGTCTCCTGAAAAGGTTGCAAGTGCCAGTGGGTCTGGATAGCAAAAAAAAGAAATTATAATTATATGTAATGAGAGGGTTTTTTTTAAAGTTCAGTTAGAACTTTCTAGCGTGTTATTAAGTCACACAATAATGATGGAGATACACTTACTCTTGGCTTTGGATGTTTGGATGACCCACTGTTCAAAGCATGTCTGTGGGATACGCAAGATGCTGTCCCCCTGTGTCCAGCTACCAGATGGGCCGGGGGTCACTAACTCTGTTGTCTCCAGCTCATCCAGCTGCTGGTTGATGGAAAAGGCTGTCAAAGCAAAGCACTGAAATAAGGAAGCACATTTGTCCTGCACATTTAACAAACACCCTGTCTGCCTACTACTGGATTCCATAATATGAGAGAAATCCCATTTAACAAGAGGGTCCTCTTATTCATGTGATTAGGCACTTAAATGACCTGATCACATGGGAGGGACAGAATGGAGTCATTCTGCAATGGATCTTGTTAAGTCTAACTCCTCTTGCTCCCATTGACATGGTCTGCTTTTCTACACTCCATTTACTTGCTCAAATCCAAGTCCATTGGATCCATTCTACTGTTAATCTTTAAACATAAGACAGGTACACGGAAGGGTGCAGTGTTTCTTGAGTCATGTGGATAAACATGAGCAGTAACAACAGCAGACCTGTAACTGGGGCGAAATGAGATGGGTAAGCGCTAGTTTATGTCTTCTGTCTACCCCCTGGTGGAGGGATTCATTACAAGTTGTAGCCGAAGAAGGAAAGAGGAAGAGAAAAAAGGATGAATTATTTCCTGAATATCTATTCAGTCCCTCCCTCAACAACCTAGTGTTTGTTGTTTACAGGAGATTGCCAGCTCCACAGAAGAACCGAAACCCATTCTTTCCCTTTGAACATGTACTTTCCCCAGGAATGGCAGGAGCAACTCAGCAGCAGGGGGGCTGCCCTGCCAAAATGCTTACCTCTGAACTCAAGGGGCCATTACTCTGGGTGCAAAAAAAGAGTTATGAGCTTTGCTGCCCTGTCAGGTCTGGAATCCTTCCCTTGGCCATGGATAATACCTAATGATTCAGAGGAAGTACTGTCAATTCTTCAAAGTGATCTTAGCTAATTGTGTGATGTTATTCTGAGGCATTGGGAGAAGCCAAAAAAGAAGGGAGGCTGGGGAGAAATTCCTTCCTTTCCAACGATCAGCTTACATCCTGCACTATCAGATTTGATTATCCTTATCTTTTCTTGCATAACTACAAATGTTATGACTGGACAGAAGTGACCAGACTTCCAAAAAAAAAGAAAGAAAGAAAAAAAGCTCCAGCCACAATGTTTGACTCCATAACTGCCTGTGGTGGTAAATTCCTTAGCCTGGCCACATGCTGTGTGAACAGCTATTTCCTTTGATTTATTCATTTATCAGTTCTTAACGCTATCAGGTGCCCCCTCATTCCTACATTAGAGAATGAGGCCAAAAGAAAAGTCTGTTTATTTTGCATCTTGCCTTTTTTTTTTTAAGATTGACATATGTATTTGACAGGGAGAGCACATGAGTGGGGGGAGGGGCAGAGGGAGAGACTCTCCAGTAGACTCCCTGCTGAGTTTGGAGCCTGACCCAATGATGCTCAATCTCACCAACCTGAGATCATGACCTGAGCCAAAACCAAGATTCAGACACTTAACTGACTGAGCCACCCAGGTGCCCCTTCATCCCTTTTCATTTAGGCAATTTAACCTAAATATACTCTAACCTTTTTTTCTCATACTGCATAGTAATTTTAAAAATTAATTCAATTTTTTAAAGTTACCTTAAAAAAGGAATTAATTTTTTAAGCTACCTTTAAAAAAACTGAGTAAGTAATACAAGGACATAATTAAAATCATTTAGGCAAAAAAATAATAATAATAAAAAATAAAATCATTTAGGCACATTTGCAATAAACCAAAAAAGCAAGTATCTCTCCTGTTGCAGACTCTTGGCTTCCCAGTCCCCACCTCCAAGGCAGTATTACGACCAGCTGCTAGAGTATACTCCAGAGATATCCAAATTCACAGATGTGTGCTTTTCTTTTTTTGAAAAATGCATTTTCACATATCTTGGAGATCATTCCATTTTGTCATAGTAATACTTCAACCTTTTTCATGGCTGCATTGTATACTAATATGAATATACCATAATTTATTTAACTAGTTCCAAACTGATGGATATTTATGTGTTTCTAATCATTTGCTCATATATGAAAAGCCCCAACAAAGATCTCTGTATACATGCCTTAACATACAAATACAAGTATCTGTATTTTAAATGTTGATAGATATTTCCAGATTGCCTTCCAAAGATGCTATGTTAATTTCTATTCTTACCAACTCTACGTAAGAGTCCTTGTTTCCCACAATCTTCCGTCAAATGCTAGTTCTACCTGAAAAACCACACATGGTGTAGGAACCTCCAAATAAACACTGAGTCCTGACACTGAACCTTCTACCCTTGTAAAACCAATCTCACCTGTGTAAGCCCTAATACCTGACAGGGAAAAAGAAGTAAGATGAAACACACAAACAAAATGGGTTACATGAACAAACAACCAGAGCCACCTAGAGGTTCCTGGGTTTTAATATCACCAAGTTTGTGAACTGTTCAATTTATACCAATAATTGTTTGTGTATGTGCTTGTTTAGGGATGGAAGTGAGAGAAAAATCCATAATTTTCATTAGATTCCTAAAATGACCAATTTCTGCCAAAAAGGCTAAGAATCCGTAACCTAGATACTAAAAAAAAGAGAAAGACATAGAAGTAAAACTGCACACAAATCCAAGGGCCTGATTTTATGGCCTAATGTGGACATACTAAATAACACTGTGAACTTAAAACCATTAAGACATAAAATAATGAAATCACGCTAGAGTTAGAATCCCTTCTCAAATTTTGTATTAGGTTTTTTTTTTTAATTTAAATTCAATTTAGTTAACATATAATGTATTATTAGTTTCAGGGGTAGAATTTAGTGATTCATCAGTTGCATGTAACATCCACTGCTCATTACATCACATGCCCTCCTTAATGCCTATCACCCAGTGACCCCATCCCCCTCTCCAGCAACCCTCAGTTCAGCATCTCTTATGGCTTGCCTCCCTCCCTGTTTTTATCTTATTTTATTTTTTCCTTCCCTTCCCCTATGTTCATCGGTTGTGTTTCTTAAATTCCACATATTAGAAAACAAAATTTGTGGCCCAAGGTGGTTTTGTTTAAGTTCTGTGACACCAGGCAGAGAGGTTAACAAAAAATAACTCACATTCTGCCATCATTTTGTAAGAATATTTTAACATCAAAAAGCAGGAAAGATGTAGCCTTAGAGTAAAAGGCAGAGTCCTTGAAGTTGAATACAATTAACTCTGTTTAAAACTCCCTACACTGACCCTCATTTTCTCACACCAATCATCTGGCCCAAGAATCTGAATGGTGCCGACAGAAGAACTCTGTCACGTATTCTCGCTGTCCCCGGACTGGCACTTGGAAACTGCTGCTATCAGGGACTGGCTCTTAAATCCATGAAAGCCAGGGCTCCTTGCACAGCTGAAAAACCCAGAGGAGAGAATTTTAGTTAAGTTACTTTGCCTCTCTTTGAACTTCAGTTCTCGACATCACATGAGAATAGTAACACCTTTCCTGCTACTGCACAGGACTGACAAGTTCAAATAAAATAAATAGGTGAGCAAGGTTTTTTCCGTAAAGTATAATGCAGGATCCACTTTAAGTACTAACATTTACTGAGCAAAAACAAAACAAAACAAAGAAACATTTACTGAGCATTGTTAAAGTGCCAGATATTGGTTTTTTTTTTTTAAGACTTATTTTATTATTTACTGGTAGGGGGAGAGGTAGAGGGAAGGGATCTCAAGCAGACTCCCCGCTGAGCACAGAGCCCCACACGGGGCTCAATCCCAGGACCCTGAGATCATGACCTGAGCAGAAACCAAGAGTCAGTCACAACTGACCGAGCCACCCAAGCACCCCTTACATGCCAGATATTGTTTTATACAAATATTACCCCCTCTAGCCCTCGGAGGCCCCAGATGAGGGAAGCTGAGGCTGAGGATAAAGTAATGTGCAAGATTTATTTGGCAGGTGAGGAGTAAGGTCAGGACTTGACCCCCGGGGCTGCCTGGTTCTAATTCTGTATTCTTAAGCATTTCTACGCACTCTTTTAAAATTAATCATATTCTTATTACAATTCTTGTAGGTTTTAACTCGAGCTTCTGGCTGAACATACATTAATTATTAATCATTTATCAGACTCAGGCTCCTCTGATAGATCAGCAAGACCTATGGATGATAGCTTTTAGTTTAATAACAAAGGATTTGCTCAGGGACCATTCAGCTAATACATGTCCCCCGTTTTTTTTAATCTTTGGATATTAACCTTTGTAGCTAGCTATAAGACCGAGCCGGTGTAATCACTAGCCTATGTTGCTAAGAAAGAAGATTGAGGCATTACTGTATTGGACATATGTCACTGGATAGAAATGTAAAAAACGGGGAACATAGGATATAAAATTCAAAACGTGAAGTCAGCTTGAGAAGTGTTGATTTGATTTACTAAATCTTTAGTAAATGATACGTAGGCATTTAAATAGTATGTGGGGCTTGCTGAAGCCAAAGAACTATTAAGAAACTCTGTAATAAACTGTTTTTCTCATTCATTTTTTAAAACGATTTTATTTATTTATTTATTTAGTGCGAGCATGAGCCGGAGGAGGGGCAGAGAGAGAGAGAGAATCCCAAGCAGACTCCCCGCTGAGCTCAGAGCCCGACATGGGGCTCGATCCCAGGACCCTGAGATCATGACCTGAGCCGAAATCCGGAATCAATCGCTTAACCAACTCAGCCACCCAGGGGTGCCTCTCATTCATTTTATTTTGTGATTTATCTAGAATAAAACATTATTGAGTTTTCTCTTTTGCTCAAGACAGGGTCATCTTTGGTTAAAGCTGACTGCAGCTTTGGTAGTTCAAGGTCTAGAGCCGAGAAGCGGGGCGGCATGAGGAATGGGCAGCACCCAGGAGCAGCAAGGACAGCACTGAGCGCCCAGCAGTCCTGCTGTCACCTGAGTGAGCAGGTACCACCAGGGACACCAGCTCCCATAGGTGTCCTTTCTTTTGGCTTTCTGTTACTTCCCCCCAAGCAGGACCACATTCCCTCGTGCTTTACTTGGCAGCTTCCCAAGTAGACTTCCAGCACCCCCCAGCCCTACCCCATACACTGTTTAAAGCAACACTCTCACCATGCCGTTCTCCCGTCCATAAAAGAGCTGGCTCTTCTGGCCCCTATGGCATCTAGCTCCTAAGGGCCTATATAATTCACTTCCATACGATTTATCCAATCTCTTTTTCCTTCCTCCCTCACCCCAACCCTACTTCAGGCATGAAGGGGACTTCACTTTTCTTTAGCAGATAAAATGCTTGCTCTCTCTCTATATATATATATTTAAACATTTATTGATTGGTTACAGTACCTCAGAAATGGCTAAATTCTTTGTCTTGTTAAATAGTTTATTCATCACATTAAACCTACGAGGCAGCTCTTCTTATCTCCCCTGTTTATAGGTGAAAAAACTGAAGCACTAAGAAATTAAGCACAGCCAGTTAGCAGAGGAGCTGGGATTTAAATCCCAAAGTGCCTGGAACTCAGAGCCCCTGGTCTTAACCCGTTACTGATCAGCAGCTCACTAGCTATATAAGCTGGAGCAAGTTACTTAACCTGTCCAATCTTTAATACTCTCCAGTGTAAGCAGGGATATAAATGTCTACCCTGCTGGATTAATGAGATTATGTATATGAAGCTACTATCAAAGAGTCTGACAGTCAAGGGGCTCCAAAAATGTTTCTGTCCCTTTTCTTTTCTGTCCAGTTATATTCCACTTATCTTTGACATTCTGCCTCTCCCATGAAGCTTCCTTGGAAGAAAGAATGAACTATTTCAGCCTACGGTGACTTTTGTACAATCCAAGAGTTCTAAAATTCAGTTTTAAATTGTGTTCCAACTATTTCATTTAGGTTAGTCTTTGCTTCTCTACCTAAAATATTATATAGGCAGTAGCTACAGATTAAACTTCATTTACATCCCCTGTACTTTGCAAAATACATCATAAAGACCAGATAAATGTTGGTTGGATCAGCAATGCAGCCCCCTGGATACAGTCTAGGATAGACCTTGCTTTAAAACAATTGCATTCTATCTTAGCAAATGCTTATAAAAAGGTATTATGGTAAATCCAGATTCATAATTTATCATTTATCCAGTCTGGGTAACAATGAGTTGAAAATGAGGAACAAACTCTAATTTAACTTTCCTTCCTTGCTTACAGCCTGTTACGTACCTGGTTGTTAAAGGCTAAGAAACTCTTGGTATCTGAAAAGCTATACTGTATCTTACTGAATTGCTATATTACTGAGGAAACAAGGTCGGTACGAGAAAACATTAAAGCACCCATCCTTAAATATGTATGGCAGCAATTAGGATTTAAGTGCTTCATAGACGTGTTAATTATTCATAGCTGGTGATTTCCCTCCGAGGTAATTATAAAGACCATTAAAGTAACTGGAATTTGTAGAATTGGCTAACTATTGTGTTAAGCCAGTCCTGGGAATGGGCCAAGATAAGAAGCCAAAAATGATTCCACTGATACAGACCACAGCCAAAACAACAAAGACAACTGATTTAAGGCTCCAGACACAGTTCATTCTCTCTAAGTTCTTAAATTAGACTGAAGACCACCAAAACCTGGCCCCAGCACACTCCACAGAAGCAACAAAGTGCCAAGACCTCATGCCTGGTCCTCTTCCACCCAGAAAGGCTACTTTAGCCACAATCCCAGAACCACAAGTGAGCTGCTTTCCATCCAGTCCTATGTGATGGGCACAGGCCCTACTTTTGCTTTTCGTTGTTGTCATGGACTCTTCTTTCGATGGTCTTAATTTTATCTATTACCTTTTTAATTAAAAAAAAATTGACCATTTCCATCTACAGTTTCTCAATTTGAAAAGGGTCAGTGGGAGTCAGAAGACTATGTCAAGTGCTAAGGAATTCTCTAATGTGGACATGTGGCATCAGGAGGAGCTAGATGAAGCTGCCAACTACATTGGTTGGCCAAGTAAGGGCCAGGCTAGATGGAATGATATCTTAAAGGAAGAAAACCTCAATATAGCTATTTCCACTGTTTCCGAAGAACTGGTCAATTTCTAACACAATCAGAAATCATTTTAAATGCAAAATTTCACACCACACTTCTAAAAGTTATATATTTCACTACAGAACATGACCAACAATTTGATTCTGATGTATCATAATGAAAAGACACTAAATCAATACCCATGCTTCCAGACAGGGAGAAGATTTATGAATACCTAAACAAGCCAGACTGAAAACAGTCTACCCTACTGTGAAAAACTTCCGGAGACAGCTTATGCAACCTCCCTAAGTAATGTGACAGTGTCTCGAGTTTCTCTTCATTCTGCTAACTTTCACTCCCTGCAACACCTACACACGATACGTTATACCTCTTATTTCGTAGGGAGGATATGTCAACACAAAGTCCAATATTCAGATGAAATTTCAAACAGGCAATCTTCTGGAAGTTTCCAAAGACATATAGTTGGCATAGTTCAAACTATATAGGCTCAGAGTCCATGACTGTCCCCAATTTTTTCTCAGGACACAAAGAAGAAAACCCATGATGAAATCATTTATTGTGCCAGTTTTCCTTCAGATGAGAATTCCAGAAGGCAATGTCTAAATATTAGAAGTCTTCATTTCTCTTGTTTGCTATGAACATGATTAGGCTACCTCTGTGATGCCCAGATTGTTAAGGATCACAGAGAAGACAGCTCTTATTATGAATATCTACCAAGCTGCACTGAAGATAAAGGACCCACACGGTTCAAAAAAAGCTCTCACACTACTCAAAAACATGTTTTGATGAAATGGATATTCATGCTCTCTAGAAAGTGCACATTTCTTATCGGAAAGCCTGAAACAGAAGCCCCAAATTCTCTTAGGGAGTAAAAGAAGAACAATGCCATAAGTAAGTATAGTTCCAGAAGCTGCAGGTAATCTCTGGGATGGTTCCCAGAAGTGGACAAAAAAGGACCCAAGGCCACCATCTCACAAGAGGCTATAAGGCAGTGAGAAGTGTTCCCAAAGCAAAGACAAACAACTTACCCGGCCAGAGCCCCTCTGAGTAATGCCAAGTGGGTAGTAATTCATTACTGCTGGTCACTGGATTCCAGTGGAGGAAACTGAAATGTCATACCTTCATTCACAACACCGGCTCATGGAATTATTTTTTCCGGATTCCTTGGGAAGTTCAAGTATTTGAGAAGAATATCAGGAACTGTTGTTTCAGCCTGTTTCGTGAGTAGATAATTGCCTTCCAACTCCATTATTTCAGGAAATGATGTGTGCGGCATTGTTCTTGGATGGGGGCAGCACTGTGTTTTAGCAAGATCCATACATGCTTATTAAACAAAACAAAACAAAAGCACGCGGTCTAAGTCACTTCGCTGAACTCAGACTTTTTGAATCTGGCTCTAGATAAGAGGCTGGCCCCAGACAACCTACCCACATACCAAAAACATTCTTTTGAAAGGGTGCAAGCAAAACTTGTTTTGAGAAATGAGAAATTTCACCCAAATTACTAAATGTGGTAATAAATAACTCTGGTCAATTAAGTGCTGTCAAAATCGGTTCAGCAAAGACCTGTTTGAAAGGCTAGGTTTTTCTCTAATTTGGGTTTGAATCAAAGACCAGCCTGGGAACTAGAAGTAAAACATTTCATCCTGAGAAGTACCTTTGATTCCATGGAATATATTAGCCGATCTTCCTGAAATGTGACATCATTTGTGGTACCAGCTGTATGGGTGTGCCATCTAAGGATTTACAAAACTAGCATTTCTTTGGCTTTAATATGTATTTTAAGATCATAGAAAGCAGTCTAATCCAGCTAAGTGCTCCAGGGGGAACTGCTATGGACTTCACTTTAAGAAACTTAAACTAGTTACAATCATGACCTATCAACCTTTTTATGGATGGGTTGCAAAGAATAAATTCCCAAATGGACATCTAGAATCGATGATGATGATAAAACTGTTAAAAAATGGCGCTCATATGTCAGGCTAGGTTGTAAATATATTACATAAGTTAGCTCATATAATCCTCAGAACAAACTTACGAGGTAAGTTTTAGTACTTTTACCACTCCTATTTTACAGATGAGGAAACTGAGGCACAGAGCAGCTAAGTAACTTGCCCATGGTTACCTAATTAATGAGTAGCAGAGGTGGAACCGAACTCACAGTGAATACTCTCACTGCCTCAGCTATCCCACCTCTCGTGGTTCTCAAACACTCTGTCTGATTCAGTTATGTATGTTACAATTGTCAGATCTCCTCTTGATAGAGGTTATTGTTTGTATGGTTTGTTAATGAAATGAGAAGTACTGAAAATTTTCTAGTTAGAGTCTCTATTATGATTCAACATTAGTTTCCAATAGTTGCTGTGGAGAATTCATTTTCCCCTTGAACAATATATTACTATAGCTAGATATGTAGGTAAAGAGAAAGCCATTTCTATGAAATATCTATGCCTGGCATTATCATTCAAAAATTTAAGGATGTATTATCTTTAAAGGTTTTTAAATAATCCATTACCAAATGTAGAATAAAGCTATAAAGAAATCCCTCAGTTCTTTCATATTATACCTTAAAAAATCAGGTATGAAGAAATCTAGGTGGAGTGTTAGACTACAGCATAGCCTCCCATCCATGCATCCACCCAACCATCCATCCATCCATCCACCCAACCATCCATCCATCCACCCAACCATCCATCCATCCACCCAACCATCCATCCATCCACCCAACCATCCATCCATCCACCCATCCACCCATCCATTCATCCATCCATCCATCCATCCATCCATCCATCCATCCATCCATCCAATAAGTCCCATATGCCAGGCACTGAGAATACAGAATGGGTAAGACAGACAAGGGTCCTGCCCCTCATGGAGCTTATATTTTAGTCAGGGGACTTTAAATACAAATGTGAGGGTGCTATTTTAGGTTGAGTGGCCAGGGAAGGCCTCTCTGAGGGGGTGATGTTTGAACAGAGAACTAAAGAAAGTGAGGGAGGGAGTCTTGATTAGATATGGGGATAAAGCATGTCAGGCAGAGGCGCCTAGGTGGAAATGAGTTTGGGTATGTTTGAAGAACAGCAAGAAAGCTAGCGTAACTAGATGAAATTAAGCAATGTGCACTGGGCAGGAGATAAACGTGACATAGATGGGACCTCATAGGCCATGCCAAGGGGTGTGGATTTTGTTGAGTGGGAGAGACTGCCATTAGTTGTAAGCAGGTGAATGACAGTGATCTGGTCCGTGCTTTCTAAAAGACACATGGCTGCAGTGAGGGAAATGAATGGGTGGGGAGCAAAAGCAAACGCAAGGAGACTGGTTAAGAAGCAGGAGTCTGGTTGAAAAACCCAATAGTGGTTTAGACTAGAATTGCAGCAGTGAGTTGGTAAAAACTGGTGGTTAGATTTGGGATATATTATGAAGGCAAAGCCAACTTAGCTAACAGATGGGGTGTGTGACACAAGAATCAAGGAACTGGATAAACAGTGGGGCCTCATACTGAGATTTGGAAGACTAGGGGAGGAACAGTGTGTGAAGAAGGGGAATCAAGAGTTCTGTTTAGACACTGAAGTTGGATACCTGTTAGCTATCTAAGTAGATAAGCTTCTCAGGCAGATTTTTGAATGTGTGAGGGGAAGAGTCAGGGCTGGAGATAGAAATTGGGGCTGGTTAAAGTCATGGCTGTTGGGTAGAGACTAGGTTGGAGGTCTGACCCTGAGGCACATATAAAATTAGAGGCTGGAAAGAAGAGGAATATCCAGAGAGGTGGAAGGCAAACCAGGAATATATGGCGATCAGAGAGCCAAGTGAAGAAAGTGTTTCTAGAAGGAGGGAGTAATCAATTGTGTCAACTGCTGAGGTAGAATAATATGAACTCAGGGCCAATCATTGGATTTGGCTTGATGGAGTTGCTGGTGACCTTGACAAGAGGGGTTTCAGTGGAGGAGTGGTACTGAAAAGCAGGCTGGAAAGGTCTCAAGGAGAATACAAGGTCAGGTAAGTGGAGACAGCAAATTTTCAGGTATTTTACTATAAACGTTAGCAGATAAATGGAGCTAAGGGTAAATGTGGAGCCTCTGGAGGGCATCTTGGGTCTAGATGGTAGTTATAACACATCTGTAATATGTTAAATGAATGATTTTGCATGATCTCTAAATTTTTATCTTTTCATCTGAAAAAACAGAAATAAAAGAAATAAAATTAGTTTAATTGATTATAACTAATGTTTGAAACATGCATTTTTTTTTCCTGTACACATTTAATCTAGGTTTTGTTTTGCTGCTTGTTTGAGATACAAGGTAGCATACAAATGGGCATCTAGACGTGGCTCAGCCAGTCAGTGGGCCACAGCAACGATGAGTATTGTCTCTTACTTTTCACTTACTATCATTGTTTTCCTTTCCCTAACACTTAAAAAGGGAACTTGCCTTTTTCTTTACTAAAATGAAATCTAGATGCTCCTAGGTGGGCACTGGAGATGAAATCTCCACTGAAAAGCAGTAACCAGGCCTCGTGGGCACAATGCTCACCTGCTCCTTGGAGATCTCTCCCTACTCTCACCACCATGTACTTTGTGCCAAGGGACACCTCCTTCCCCAATTCCCCCCACACAACTGAGATCATGTAAAAAAGGTTTCACTGAGGATTTGGGGGCTACAAAATGGGAACAGTCATAAAATATAACTAGATAATCTGGTTTATAAAACATAACTCGCTCATCTTTGGCTCAAGCACTCGTATCAAGAAGATTCCCTGACTAGCTCCATGTGGCAGGGGTTATCTGTAACCCCAAGAAATGCTACCAAGTGTGCCTAGACTTCTGAAAGTCCAGATGAGAAGGGGAGAGGAGGGGAGAGGTTCTCAACCCACCTGGTCCTAAGAATCACCACTTTCTCAGGTGATTGACAGTAATGTCCAGGCATTCCAGGACTCAAGTAGTCTCACTCTGGGTCCTTAAGAAGATACCTACATGAGATTATAAGACAATAAACCCAGGATCAACACAAAAGATACACATATATCAGATACAGGAAGGTGTTTTATTATCATCTTATAATTGTAGACACCACTGGGACCTGGGATCTCTACCACCACCCTAACTCACTTCATGGTAACCCAGGTCTGGGACGGCAGGGCCAGTTTGGGCAAGAAAGGAGGGAAAGGAAATGAAAATAAACCCTTGGGAGTTGCTCTCTACAGCCACTTGTCATTTCTCAAGCCCCATTGTAAGTCCTAGGCAGCAACTTCACAGCCAACTCAGTCACCTCAAAGAACATCCCACACTTAGAGAACCTCAGACAAAGTGTCTGAAGTTCATTGATTCTGCAAATGAAGATACTTTATCCAGTGATGGGTTTAAAAAAACTATCATCGTCACCTGAGTACATTTACAGATATGTGTCGAGTGCATGATGGTGGTAGTGGAGGGTGCTTCTCTTCTGTCGTCTGCTTCTTATTCTCAACAAATCCTATTAAGAATTCCAAAATCTCTTCAGCACCAGATAAGAGAAACCGTGACTTCATCTGGAAACGAGATGGATAACATTCTGTTTTGAGACAGTAAGTATAACAATGGAAAGGCAAGCAGACTGGTGGGAGCCAGGCCTGGGGATAAAGAAGGATTTGGCCTAAACTGTATTAGACTCTCTTCAGGAACTAAGGGATTTCTGCTTCCTCTGGTCCTACCGGGGAACATTACTTTCAGGCTACAGCAAGAAGGGTTCATTCCAGGTCTCTCAAGTTGAAACTCTAGGTACATTTCTCAAAAAAAAAAAAAAATTAAATATAGTGGCTTATAGCATTACATACACTATTGGTAGTACTATTGGCCCATGATATTTTGAGACATAATAGTTTTTGTGGGCGAGCTAAGCGCCTAATCACTATGTACATCATTGTTTCCATCTAGAGATTCATTCCAAGTTCCAAACAGATGACCTAAATTTTAGAAAAATACCTATACTGGTTAATTGGGAGTAATTATGTGTGTGTGTGTTTCAAAAAGGTAAGGTTTCAAGTTTCTACTTTTGCAGTATATAGTTCACCTTAAAAACTTTCCTAAGAGAAATAGCAATATTATAAATTAGGTGACGA